CAAAGGGAACCCCCATCGAACGCTGTGCACTGTGTCTGACTGCGCTCTACTTCTTTCGCGGCAGGACCATGGAAAACGTCAAGCGGAAAAGGCATGCGTTTAGTCCTTTAATCCAGAACTTCCAGCGTTTATTTCTCTTGTGTAAAGTACGAACTCGTAATTCTTGAAGGTAAGTGACACGATAAATCCCCAAGACGTGCAGGATTGATACGCCTAGCAAGGCATTGATATGGAAGTATCCCTGAGAAGGTGCCACGCAGAACCGGCTCCGGGGCGAATTCGGCGCCCGGAGCCGGTTCTGCGTGGCACCTTCTCGGGGATAACTTGCATATCATGCTGATAAGCGCCCTCCCCCCTCCCCCCCTCCCTGCCGCCCACAAATGTCCGACCGATGCTGATGCTCGCATCGCTTCATTTGCGAAGTACAATATGAAGCGAAGGGATTGATATGAAGTGGTGCTGCATGGATATACGAGTACCTACATCCAGCCGTACCCACCGTAGCGGTTATGCGATGCCAATGGAGAAACTCGTCCGAAATTGCTTTCTAGGTCCTGTACAAAAAGGTTTTTGCAGGTTTTTGATCGCTCACTTCGCTTTTTCGCCTTCTTGCCCACTATACCGCACCCCTCCACAATTTCAGACCGTGCACCAAATTACATTTCAGACCGTGCACCAAACTATACCTTTAATACCAGGTATGACTCAGCACCATTAGTTTTGATTTCGTAATTAGCAGAATCGCGGGAAACTACGACACAACAAAGGACGGAAGCGTCGCGTGCGGCTGTGCGGTCATTGTGAGGATTCCCGCCTCCTCTTCCGTTTCATAGTGCTTCGTTCTTCCATGCACCCTCCATTTCACACCATCCTTATCGTTGAGCGGTTGTTTTTCATATGTTACAGCTTCTGAATTCATTAAGTAGTGGCACTTTTGATCGAGTGTCAACTGTATCGATTGGTGCACGTCACCCAGGTTTGTGCCCACTTCTGTCCATTTCACAGTCGTTGTTTAGTAAATGACGCGCTGTTCCTTCCCTCACGTTCGAGCCAGAACTGGCACACGATTTAGCCTTTCGCACTAATTCATACGTCAAATCGTTGTGGTTTTAAGAACTCCAACATGTCAGTTGCTTTGAGCCCAGAAATCTTGCAAATAAAGACGCGTGTGATCCCTGTAGCTCCTAGCTTATAGATGCCCCTGAGTTACACGTTGTATGCTGTTCGCCTATTATCTTTCAAAGAATACTTGCGACATATAGGTTTAGTTATTCATATGGAAAACAAAGTCGACTAGGCCGCGTTCATACT